ATAAGTTACTCTTGTCTCAATATAGTAAGTCAATCCCGTTTAATTCGACGGGGGAGAATTATTGTTTTTATTTTGATATCGTCCTATTTTTATACTAAATGAGGTTGCGAGAAATATAAATGCGTCAAGAATATTTTTGTCTCGGTAACAGAAATCTTTTCTGAAGGGGGGGGGGGTATGCGTTTTACCGAAACGAACTCGTTGTTATCGATATTCTCGATAATCACAACATCTTTCGATGTCGACTTTTCTTGCCCGTCTATTTACGTCGCCCGTAAACTGTAGTCAGAGATCTAAAGTTGATGTATCAGGCAAGGAATCAACAGGTGGTCGTGTCCCGAGAGGATGGATCTATGGGAGAAATTTCCTATTTCATTTGTACATTAAGATATTTAGAAGAAGCGATCGTGAATTCGATCGAAATATCATCGGTCTTTGTTCGACTACCACCTGTTGAAACAATCCACCGAGAGTATCGTGCCAGGCAGTGGGTGCGAACACGAGGAGACAGCTTCTTCCAGTCGGGGGGGAAAACCGCTGACCAAAATCTCGTACACCAATAACTTTTCTTTCTCAGTGCATCTATTGTAGACCGGAACCGTGGAGGAAACCACTGAGGGTATCGTGGTGTACATATTTCAGGCATTACTGGTCATTACTAGGCATTTTTTTGGGCATTAGTTTGAGCATTAGGCCTTGCTGGGGGATTATGAAGATAAAATAAGAGATAAGATAAAATATGATAAAACAAAATAAATAAGTGATGCCCATTGGGCATTAGTGGGCATCACTTTGTCTTTATTATCTTATTTTATCTTATTTGTTTTGTTTTTTCATATTTTATCTTATCTCTTATTTTATCTTTCTAATCCCCCAGCAAGGCCTATTGCCCAAAAAATGCCTAGTAATGACCAGTGATGCCTCAAATATGTACACCACGATGCCCTCAGCGGTTTACCCCTCGGTTCCAGTCTACAATAGATGCACTGAGAAAGAAAAGTTATTGAAATGACCAAGTACGTTTATTCTGCAGTATTTCTTCGGTTCAAGTATATGCTTCTAAGTTAAACATACAGTGATTTATGGAAACACATATTTTTATGAATAGACGAATATTTATACGAATTGATAAATATTTGGCTGGCAGCCCGTGATCGCCGCATATATTTGAGTCGAGAAAAATTTCTTTTTATCTCAGTGTGATTTAAGCCCCCGAGAAATGGACCAATTACAATTGAAAGTGAGAATACTCGACCGCGCTTGGCCAATTTCTCAGGGCTCAGGGCTCAAATTGTTTATTGTGGACTAAGACTTAGGTCGCGAGAGGCTTATAGCTGACTGTACTGAAATTCTTCTTATGAAAAGTACAAGAAGTAAGGCCCGACAACTGTCTGGCGCTGTGTTCTCAACACCTTCCGGTGCACGGGATGGAAGTCGTTAAGATACTTAGATGTTATCTAACGCTAGATATATTTAGACAATACGTATTACAAATTTATATGTTTATTTTATTGTGACGTTAGAGTGATTCTGCCGTGCATTCCACCCGCGCGCCATGTGCACCATTAATTTCACTCACTCTTAGTGGGCTGATTTGAGCGACGATATATATTTATCATAATTACGCGCACTTAGCCGCCCAGCGCTGATAACGGCGCGCTGTCGACAATAACTCCGGCTACAATTAGCTGTCCGCGACGACTAAAAGATAGCGACTCCGTTTCTCACCCCGTTTTCTCGCGAGTGCAATTAGATGCAGCCACTGGAAGAGTCGCCCAAGCATCTCGGAAGTAACAGTATCAGTTTTTACAAGGCCGTCTCGTCCGCCGGCTGCCCTCCGGGGGCATCAAAGGCCGTGCCACTCGCTACAGCGTGTCTCAAAAGTCACGGGCGACCTGTCCCTTGATTCCAACTGGTTGATTCCGCGCCCACAGTAAAAAAATGTCCGGATCCAATGCTATTACACTTGAACGTATTATAAAATAGGATCGATGTAGCGCCGATCATGTTTATTATAGAGAAAGGAATAATTTAATCTTTGAAATGAAAAATTTGTCGTCTTTTGTCGAATATCGCGGTGCCAATTTCGTGGAAGCCAACTTGTAAGATGGAGAGCAAATTTATTCTAAACTTACATTTACATAAGTTACTCGTGTCTCAATATAGTAAGTCAGTCTTTTTTAATT